CCCTCAAGTACCACAATATCCACTTCACGGCCTCCCAATGTTGCTTCCCTGGATTGCTTGCAAACCTACTCACAACTCCCACTGCATGGGCGATGTCCGACCTCGTGTAAACCATCACGTACATAAGACTCCTAAACCATCATGTACATAAGACTCCTAATGGCCGAAAAATATGACACTTTGCTCATATGCTCTCTATCTGCATCTGTCTTAGACGATTGGTCCTCAGATAGCTTGAACTGACTTCCAAGCGGTGTGCTAACAACTTTAGTATTCTGCATATTGAATTCTCAATGTATTCAGCTTGACTCAATCTTAATGTCCCTTCAGCTTCATCCCTACTGATTCTCATCCCTAGAATCTACTTTTCTACACCCAGATCCTTCATTGCAAACTCCTTTGCTAGCTACTTCTTCAAACTATTTATATCTTCTAAACACGGTCATGCTACAAACATGTCATTAACATATAATAACAAGATAATAAAGCTGGACTCAAACCTTTTGAAATAATAGCAATGATCCGAATTACATCTTCTGTAGCCATTGTTTTGTATAAAGTTATCAAATTTCTTGTACCACTGTCTCGGAGCCTGTTTCAAACCATATAAGCTCTTCTTGAGCTTGCACACCATCTCTTCCTTTCCTTCTTCAATGAAGCCAACAAGTTGCTTCATGTAGATTTCTTCATCCAAGTCATCATGAAGAAAGACAGTCTTCACATCTAACTGTTCAAGAAAGAGGTCTTCTACAACTACCAAACTCAACACCACTCTGATGGTTGTGAGCTTCACGATAGAGAAAAATATCTCCGTGTAGTCCACTCCTTCCCGCTGTTGAAACCCCTTCACTACTAATCTGGCCTTGAATCTCTTGCTTCCATCACTCTCCTACTTGACTCGGTAGACCCATTTGTTATGTAAGGCATTCTTCTGTGCAGGTAGCTGGGCTAACTCACATGGCTCATTAGTGAGTAGAGGATCCATCTCCTCCTGCATCGCATGCTCCCACTGCTGAGATTCACTCACTTGCATAGCCTCCTCATAGCATTCTGGTTCACCGCTATCTGTTAATAATAAGTAATCAAGAGATGAAAGATATCTGAGATTTGGTTTGGGTACCCTGGATGACCTCCTGAGCTCCACGCCCTGGGTAGTTGCTTCTGCACCTGGAACCTCCTCCGTTCTATGGTCAGAACAAACATCATCACCTCTATCTGGAAGTTCCTCTAAATCCATGTACTCGGATCCACCTGCATCCGTAGTGCTGCTCCCACTATTTTGGCTATCCTTGGTATTTTTCTTGTTCTTGTACATCACCTCTTTATTGAATATCACGTCACTGCTTCTGATGATCTTCCTGTTCTTCTCATCCCAAAGACGATACCCGAACTCATCAATGCTGTATCCAATGAATGTGCACTTCTGTGACTTAGCCTCTAACTTGTCTCTGACATGGTCACTGATATGAACATAAGCCACGCAACCAAATACCCGTAAGTGTAAGAGATTTATCTTCTTTCCACTCTAAACCTCCTCTGGAATCCCAAAATCCAATGGAACTGATAGCCCGTGATTAATAAGGTAAGCTGTCGTATACACCATATCCGTCCAAAACGTCTTAGGCAAACATGCATGTAATCGCATGCTCGTGGCACACTCCATCAAGGTTTTGTTCATCCTCTTTGCAATGCCGTTTTGCTTCGGCGTCCCTGGAGTAGTCATCTCTAAACGAATATCATTTGTAGCACAGAACCTCTTGAACTCCTCCAGCTCGTATTCTTTACCGTTGTCTGATCTCAGACACTTCACTTTCAGATCTGTCTCATTCTCCACCATGGCCTTCCACTTCTTAAAGACTCCGAACACCTCTGACTTGTGCTTCATAAAGTAGACCCACACCTTCATCGAGTGATCGTCGATTAAGGTGACATAATATCTCAAACCGCCAAAAGAAGACACACTGGTTGGACCTCATACATCTGTATGAATCAACTCTAGCTTCTGAGCCTTAGGTGGTCTTCCACCATTCTGGAAACTAACCCTCTTCTGCTTCCTAAAGATACAGTCTTCACAAACCCCGACTTCCACGGAGTCGATCCCGGTTAGCTTTCCCTGTGAATGTAAGATCTTAATCCTCTTCTCGCTCATATGCCCTAGTCTGTCGTGCCACAGATCTGTACTCTCTTTGTCAGCTACAATTGCGAGGGTGTCACTCGCATGTAAGGTGAGATAGAGAGTCCCTAATTTATTGCCTCGAGCAACTATCATCGTACCGTTGGAGATTCTCCATGAATCCCCTGTGAATGTCGAAACATAGCCTTCTGCTCCAAACTATCACACAGAAACAAGATTCCTCTTCAGCTTCGGCACGTGTCTTACGTTCTTCAAGATCCACTTAGAGCCCTTCATCTGAATCTGCACTTCACCATTTCCAACAATATTACAAGGCTCGTTATTCCCCAAATAAAATTTTCCAAAGTCCCCTGCTACATAATTCTAGAGAAACTTTCTGTTAGCAGTGGCGTGGAAAGAGGTTCCTGAGTCGATGACCCAAGAATCTGAGTCGCTATCCATAGTAAGGATCAAGACATCTTGCACGATATGAGCCTCCTGCTCACCCGTGTCCTTCTTTAGACTCTTGCAGACTGAAGACATATGGCCCTCCTAGTCGCAGTTCCAACACTTCTCTTTAATAGACCTAACCTTCGAGTTCGACCTCTTCTTTACTGATTTCGACCGATTCCTGTTTTGGTTCCCTTTCTTCTGGCTTCAGCCTCTTTGCTCGAAATTTAGGGCTAAATCTGAACCTTCTGATTCGGACGATTTCCTTCTAACCTCCTCGGATAGAATCATGCTAACCACCTCACTCAGTTTTAACTTTTTTTTCCCGCCGAATTGCTGATTGTCGTCACACAACCTGCCCAACTATCCGGTAATTGCGATAGTAATAGTAGGGCCTATACTTCGTCATCAAACATGATGTCTATGGAGATAAGTTGATCAACAATCGTGTTGAACTCGCTGATGTGCATCGTGAAGGACCGTCCTTCTGTAATCTTGAGGTTGAAAAGAGTCTTGACGAGATGTACCTTGTTTGCTACCGACGGTTGCTCGTACATCTTCGCGAGCGCTTCCATAAGCCTCACCGTCGTCTTCTCCTTCAAGATATTGTGGGCTACTGATTTGGCGAACGACAACCGGATTTACCCTAGAGCCTTCCTATACAGTATCTTTCAATCATTATCTGACTCCTTTTTCTTTTGTCCCTTATCATTGCCCATCAACGGGCGATACAAGTCCTTCTGGTACAGATAGTCCTCCATCTGTGACTTCCAGTAGGCGAAGTCTGAGCCGTCAAACTTCTCGATCTTAGATTTGATTTCCTCTGCCATGGCTTTCACACAAATTGCTGAACGAAGCTCTGATACCAATTGTCGGGGAATCGAAACAATCAAATCGAACCCTTACCCTTCCGGACCTTATGTTGAAAGTAGGAAAGTAGGAAAATTCACCACAAATAAAGATAAAAAATTGCAGGAATAATAAAGGAGACGAACACACAGATTTAACGAGGTTCGGTAACGTGCCAACGTCCTCGGGAGCCACACCACATAATTCTTTTATTGATTAAAGAAGAAATACAAGCTCTTAAACTAGGGTTTTATCTCTCTGAGATCTCTCTGTCAAAAGCTCTCTCTTTTGATGGTTTTCTGATGCTTAACAAACACTAAAAACGTTTGGGTATATTTATATCAAATCCAGCCCAAACAGATTTTCTGAACTCATAAGGACTCTGGCAAATAGTGTCGCGGTCGACTGTGACGGTCGACCGCGCAGGTATCGTGGTCGACCGCGACGATCGACCGAACCAAAACCCGAGAGCAAAAAACATTACAGGGTTGGCGCGGTCGACCGCCTTCAGCTTCAGCCTCTCCCTGACTCCTGTGCACGTTCGCGGGCGGCCGACCGCCATGCTGACTGGCAGTTCTCCTAGATTTTTTGGACCGTGTTCTTTGTGATTCCAGCTTCGGTTTTAACTTTGGGTCTATACTTTAGACTAACAAATATGAACACTATAAGTTTTGATTAATTGAGGATATCGATGCTGACAACATTCTGGTTATGAGGTTCATTTTTTTCATTGATCTATAAGAACCCCCATAAAAACAAAACTCCTATTAACATTTATTATCATACCAATAAAAAAATTCTTCTTGTGCATGATGATGGAAAGAAGAATAAGTAATATGGATGAAATAATTTGAACTTGCATTTTTTTCTTTCTCCTTCTCTTGTCCACCATTAGTTTCGAAGTAATGAAAAAAGGGCCTCTACCAACTACTGTCTCTCTACAGTCAGAGTTTAGGTTAGTCTTCTTCCCTAACTCCTTTACTCCTCTAACAAACCTTGCCATGATGACTTGTGACAACTTGCCCTCGCTTAGAAGTCAAATGTAAGATATTCTCATCTTTTAAGCAAAAGGAAAACATTACATCACTGTCAACTTATGCTAATTAATGCTAGACAATAAAATCCATCCGAAAAAAAAACGAACCATTAGAAAAGAGCCATCTGTATTTCTCAAGCTTGATTCAAAAGGTTCAGAATTCATATGTTTCATAAAAATGAATTTCTCTGTTATTGATAAATATATGGGCATGCACATAATTATTATTGTAAAATGATCTCTTTGATGTCTAACCACAATGTATGAAGAGGTTCTGAATACTTTTGCACGGATCAAGCATGGCTAGTTAATATCCTAAGTATTAGGTGTCAAGGTTCAAATTTATATATACTTTGCATAGTAGATAACAGAGCATAATGTAGTAGGAAAGTTGTGAAGATATTATACACGTTAGGTAGCTAATAAAGTTGAAGGAGCTGGTAGCAGACTAAAACTAACTCTAAACGTCAATATCACCTAACATCAACAAACACAACACTATGCATTCTTCTATATAAACTCATTTATGATGGTAGTTTTCACATCCTTGAGCTAGCTAATAAACACAAGCCCTAGAAATGAATATGAATTTATTAGCGGTTAGTGTTGTGGGTCTCTTGGTGGTTGTGATAGCCGTAGCTCCGGCCATGGCCACCGACTACACGGTGGGGGATTCGTCGGGGTGGACGCAAGGTGTGGATTATAAAACTTGGGCTTCTGATAAAACCTTCAAGGTTGGAGATACCTTAGGTAAGTCTAGTTTCTTTCTCCTATGTCTCCTAGATGTTTCCATTTTGCATTTCTAAAATTTTACCCTCAATTCTTGTCAAACCTTTTAAATTCTGGTATAGAGGAAGAGATCTTTGATATGATATCTAGATTTCGGTTCATAAAAGGATGCTCAACCTACAAGGGTATATCATCATTACAGTTTTAGAATTTTGATGCCGTAATAGTATCTTTTGATAAACATATGCTAGATGCACGTGCCAATACATTTATCCTTACTCTTTCTCTATTTATTTTTAAACTAGAAGCTAATTTGTAAAATTTCAATGACGTATTCCTTACGGAAACTTTCTCACTTGACAAGTGACCACTTTAAGGGTTGAACTACTTGTAGCAAATTAATTATTTTCAGAATAAATGCCCCCCGGCCCCACACACACACACTCTCTCTCACGCACGTATAAGGTGGTTTATTGATACTCCGTAATTAATCCTGTAATTTATTGATACTCCGTAATTCTTTTAATCTGTATTAACAAGCTTTATCTGTCTTACGAACTGTTATTACGTCTCTTCCGTATTTCTTGTGTTTTTTAATTAAAAGACTTGTATGTAAGATACTAAATAAAGAAATTGGTTATTGTTAGGGAATATCTGAAACCTCAGTTTTCCAAGTCCATTTCCATTTTCAGAATGGATTTAATTGTCTGTTTAAATCAATCATGCAATATTTTTTGTGGCTTGGCCGCACGTAGAAGGAAGATGATAGAGATATATATGATTGACACATGCCCCAACAGCTCCATAAACTATGTATTTACAGTGTTCTTTGAATCAACTGATAGCTAAGTTAATCTCTCTATATATATGGATTTGTGGTGGTTCATATTGTCAAATGAACTACTAAGAGATAAATGGGGTCCACACCCTTTTAGATGACATTTAGTGTGAATTTCATCACATGGTTTTTCTTAGCAGCTAATTTAGTAAAATGAACTGTCATCTCATTTTCTTTATTTCTTATACGCACGCCTAGAACACGTACTTCTTCAAGGGCATATAATTAGGCTAAATTAGCTCATACATGATCCACTAGCTGATAATTGATATGCGTATTTGCCCACCTGTGATCCATACGGACTTGCCCAAGTGTTAGTTTCGCCTAGAACGGGTAATTAAGTCTGACAATTAATGGGTAAACTAGATTAATTAGTGCTAGTCCTAGTTATATGATAGACTATACGGTACGTAGGGCCAGTTTGGTTTCGATAAGTGTAAACTGATTTTCATAAAACTGTTATTTAAGTTAAACTCAATTTGGCTATTTTCAATTAAAACTGATTTAGAACTAATAGTTAACTAATTTTTTATTTGATTCAAGTTTGAGTTAGATTCATATTATTGCCTTTATTTTTTATAAAATCCCGTTTATTCCAGACTACCACCGCCTTGGATTGATTATCAGTAGATACTATGTATGATTGCCCAACTACCCCTATATTCACGCTTCATTTATTAAGTTATTAAATGAGAGATTTCTTGAAATTTTTTTTCCAATTTATGAATCCTAATTAAAATGAGTCGTAATTAATGTTTGCCACAGTGTTCACCTACGGCTTCCTGCACAGCGTGAACGAGGTATCGAAATCGGACTACGACGGCTGCTCCTCATCCAACTCCATCCAGAGCTACACGACGGCACCCAGCACCAAATGGTCCTCCCTCGACAGCCCGGCGGCCGCTACTTCATCTGCGGCACCCCGGGCCACTGCTCCGGCGGCATGAAGCTTGCAGTCTCCGTCGCCTCGTCCGGCTCCGACGGCAACGGCAACGGCAAACACCTCCCCTCGACCCTCGCGCTCGGGCTCCGGTCGCCGACTACACCCTCGGGACTCCCAGCGAAGAACACGCCGGACGGCGCAAGCACGGCCGGCGGCGGAGGGGTTAATGGGTTGGTGGCGGCCATGGCTGGGGCTTTGTTCGCGGGGCTAGCACTTTTGGGCTAGGGGAGAGACAGTGCGTCGAGAATATTGTTGTGTCGTGTAGCTTTGTTGTTCGTTTGTGGTTTAGTCTGAGGAGGTTATTTGCTTTGCTAGAGTATATATGTGTATCATGAGATGCAGATTTGTTGTTTTTTTTTTGGTGTTGTTTTACGTATGAGATCTTATGTAGTATCCCTTTTCCCTCTTTGACTTGTTTGTTCAACGTGGGTAATATGCATGGATTTGATTACTTTGGGCTCATTTCATAAAAACCCTCAATTGAGGGACGGGGTATCTTGCTTATAAATGACAAATTATTAGGCTTGAGAGTGATTTTGAAAGCGGATGGATTTAAACATAAACGCGGGGAAATTTTTGGGCTTATAGGTAAAGACCCCTTTCAGAAGTGAACGGGTTTGGAAATATATAGGGTAAACTTTGGGTTTAGAGGCAAAATGAACAGTTCACTGAGACGAAATGGATGTGGAAATAAATTAGTGAAGTGCTTTGTGTGTAAAAGTAATTTTGGAAGTGGGTGGATTTCACAAGAAATGGATGTGTAACTTTAGATTTATAGACCAAAGAACTTTTCTTTGAAGTAGGACTACTTTTTCTACTCTTATTTGGCTTGTAAGAT